GGAGGCAGCAGGTCGGGGACCCCGAGGGTGGCGGGCAGGACTGTCGCGGTACCGGCAGTGACGCGCACAGCCGAGGGAGTCGGTCTGCTCTGGCTCGTGTGGAAGCAGACGCAGCTGCTATAGTTCTCACGTTTTAGGAGACACAGGGAGCCTTCAGGGTAGCAGAGAGCCAAATCTGACCTAGATGTTGAAGAGCCAGAGGTCCAGCAGGCTGTGGGGCCACGGCGCTGACGCTGTCAGTAGCGATTCTCAGACACACAGGGGCAGGTCCACCCGCGTCCAGGCCCGCCCGGCCCCGTGGAGCCTGTCCACTGCCATGGGCGCGGCGTGGGGAGGGTGGGCCTCAGCGAAGCACAGGGCAGCAAACCTCTCAGAGTCCTTAAGATGGGAGTGGAGACGATGTGGGGGGAGGAGGATAGGACGTATTTATAATAGGCACATAGAACACGGGATAGAAGAGGAGAGATTTTTACTAATATATATTTTAAGATTGCACACAGTACACACCAGAAGATGTGAAATTTATTTGTGGCAATTAAGCAATCCTGAGGCTCAGTGCTTTAAAAATTTTTTTTAAAAATCGGACTGCTCCTGGGGGGGATACCACTCCAAATAAACGACACTGAGAGTTAACAGGAAAACGAGAGTCCTCCGAAGGCGTCCCACGAAATGTAGTCTAGGAAAGAGGAGCCCGGATACCAGGAAACCAGCGTGGCTGTATCATACTTGACATGGGCAAGGTATCCCAGCACCTGTCGTCTGTGTTGGGCTTTTCCTCGCCTTCTGGGCTGAAATGTTCTCTGAAATCCAGCAAGTCACCCAGAGGGGGCTCCAGGTAAAGGCAGCTGTGACCCCCTCCTCCTCCTCCTCCTGTTCCTCTTTCTCCTCCTCCTCTTTCTTCTTCTCCTGCTCCTGCTCCTCCTCCTCCTCCTCCCCCCATCTCATCCCCTCCCTCCCAGAAACCGGGAAGAGTAAACAGGAAACCTACTTCTTATGTGCTATGCAAAAGAGACATCTTGAACAGAGTCCTGTTGCTATGGTAACGCTTTGCTTTCTGAATTGGGAGTAGAAAAAAAAAAGATGTAGCGACAGCGTTTGAAGGTTCTCAGGCCCCCAGTGAGTCCCTGCAGAAAGGCGAGTTGTCCCAGAAATGATTACTCCCCATTTCCTCAACCTGAAAATGTTGGTCCAAAGTGCGTGTGTGTATGTGAGAGTGGGTGTGTGGTGTACCTGTGTACATATATGTATAATATATATCTCCAATATATATTATATATATCTATATCATATTTCTGTGGAGGTTGCCATGGTGACCGGTCACAGTACATATGTAATTCTTTCCATCACTCTGACCTCTCCTTTCTGTGCATTCATACGAGATTTTCTCGTAAGCCATCAAAAGTTCCTCGTAGGATCGGGGAGAGGGGCGAGGAGGGGAACATGGGAAAACGTCTGATTTTAATGAAATCAAGTGTGTGTATCCCCGGTTGGCCACCTTTGGGTTATGTGCTAAACTGTGAAAAAGAAAAATCAGATGACCCGATGAAGAGTTACCCACGACCAGTTGAAAAAAAGAAAGTGTTCTGTGCGTCTGTTTTGTGTCTGGTGCAAAAAATGACAATCTACCAACTGCCCCCTTCTTTGGAGTTGGTTCCGCTTTGGAAAGTTACTGTAAATGCCTTGCTTGTATTCTGGTCACCCGGCTTCGGGATCACACCATCCTGTTCAACTGAAGAAGGTGTAAATAGGTTCCGAACTTGCTGTCTTTGGATTTGGGGTGTTACAGTAGCCTTATTCACGTTTTTAATAAAAAATACACATGGAAACAAGACAGAAATGGCTTTTCTTATCCAGATTGTGTACATAGAGCAATGTTGGTTTTTTATAAAGTCTAAGCAAGATGTTTTGTATAAAATCTGAATTTTGCAATGTATTTAGCTACAGCTTGTCTAACGGCAGTGTCGTTCCCCTTTGCACTGTAAGAGGAAAAAAATGGTATAAAAGGTTGCCAAATTGCTGCATATGGTGCCGTGATTATGTACCATGGATATTTATTTAAAATTTCGTTGTTCAATTTGTAAGTAACACAGTATTATGCTTGAGTTATAAATATTTTTTTCTTCCTTTGTTTTATTTCACTAGCCTGTCTTAGGTTTTCGATCTGCTTTAGTTCACATCACATTCAGCCCCCTGAACACGAGCTCCGTGAAGCCACATTCCTCATCTGTTTCAAACTGAATTTGTTCTTAAAAAAATAAAATATTTTTTTCCTATGGAAAAATTGCCTTCAAAGTACTTTCCTTTTTTTTTGCTTTTCTTTTTTTGTTGTTTTTCATTTCTTATTTTGACACCCCCCACCCCCAGTATTCTGTTTCCCCAATACCTCAGTGAGCCAGGACGGGAGCTGAGGACTCAGGGGTCCCAGGTCCTTCTCACACCGGGACGTGCACGCCAGTGAGGAAGGTACTCAAGTCCTCACCGTCTTGAGCGGGGCAGGTTTGGGGTCTCACCCTTGAGGTACCCTGGGAGAGAGCCCCCAAGAGGAAAGGGGGAAATGGCTTCTCATCTTGCCCTTAATTCTGGATCTACCTCGGTTCCACTTAAGCAAAGCAGTTCGCTATTGGTGGCTTCCCTTTTCTTCTCAGAGTAAACCCTCAGGAAGGGCGACGCCAGCTGTCCTCTGTACCAGTGTCGCTGCAGTGCACGTGCATCGGTGAGGTGGGCTTCGACTGAAAGTGAGGTCACCAGTGCAGTGCCTCATCTGGGGGAGGCTGCGGGTGGAGGTGCTCGGGGCCTCCCCATGGTCTTGAAGTCTGTGTCTTCCCGCTGGCCCTGGGATGTGAGTGTGAGAAACGCTACCGCTCACCAGCAGGAGTGTAGGGGGACCGGGAGGCTCCTGGGCCAGGGAACAAGCAGGCAGCCAGCCCAGCAGGTAGAAGAGAGCCATGCAGCCTCCCCAGGAAAAACGGTGAGATGCTGGGTTCTCTAAACTTCCAGTTCTTACACTGAAAGAACACTTGTTAAACAAATAGGTTCCACTAAAAGAGAGCAAAATAAATTCCAGGCCTTCAGTTTTGGTTGACGGTGGATGGTAGCTTCAGCACCACCTGATCCCACCTGGCCTGGCTTCCTTTCCCCAGCAGCAGGCCAAGTTCAGGGGCACAGTTTCCAGCCCAGGAGTCCTGGCTGAATGGTCAATTCCATGAAGCAAGATTGCGTTTAACCTGGGCAGAGGAAAGAACAAAGTGTTGTGTGTTCAGCGTCCCCTTGGTACCTGAGTCACCCCGTGCATTGGCATTTTGGGCTCACTTTTGAAACCAGGACAGAGGCTGCTGAGTTTGGCAAAGAGAGAAGATGCGTCCAGGGTTCCTGGTTCCGTCCCAGAGCCAGCGGCTCACGGAGCAGGTTTCTCACCCGTAGCTTGGCGCCCCAGCTGCACACTGTCAGCTCCCTTCCTGGTGAGAGCTGCTCCTCAAGCACCGGTAAAGATTCCCAGTGGAAGGGAGAGACGTTCCCACCAGGAGACCCCTCTCTTAGTAGCTAGCTGCTCTCTGCCTATTGCTAGTCGCAGGGTCCAGCGCAGCCACTAATAAGCAAAGAAAAATAAAATAAGATCCAGAGTAGTGAAACTGACTTTTCTCATGTGGGGTAAAAAGGACAATTACCCTACTTCCCAGTTGGGTAGCACACAGATCTTTCTTTGGCCGAAAAGAGACATGATAGGTGTCTTCCTGAAAGAGGTAAAGACATCGTGTTCCAGCAATCCATGGATACACTGGCAAAGACATCAGACTACAGTGACCCCATGTTTCAGGCACACGATTTGTAGCAGCCGGATCCTGGAAATATGTGTCCATCAACAGATGAAGGTTAAAAAAGTGGATTTACACACAGAGGAGCACTACTCTGCCGCGAAGGATAAACTTGACTCATTTGTGGGGGAATGGAGACACATTGGGCCAGTGCTCTTGAGTGAAATAAGTAAGACCCAGAAGCTCAGATATCGCCATGGTCCCTCTTATGCGAGAGACCCAAAATATAAATAAGGAGCCAAATAAAAGATAAGTAGGAAGATCCTTTTCAATTGGGAAGGGGAACAAGAGACAGGGAGGGAAGGAGAGGGGATTTAAAAAGTTTAAAAACAGCTAGAGCTTATGCAAAAGAGGAGGATTGAGAGAAGGAGCAGGGAGGGAGGGGAAGGATGGGGTGGAAAAGGTGTGTTATGCACGAATGCCGGCCCCCCATGAGGAGCACAATCATTTCATATTGCAGACATGGTCTAATAAAAGTTAATTTTATTTATAAAGGAGAGAGACATAATCGGCATTCCACAGCAGGGTCTGCTGCTTTGGTTCAGTTTGGATTTCAGTGGATTTGGGACTTGTTTATGCTGTTTACACCATCCGCTCACCTGCCGCTGACTTTTCAGTGGTGCAACAACAGGAGCATTCCCCACCCGTGCAGGAACTGAGCTCAAGAATCCTTCATCAGTGACTTGGGAGGAGGAGGCATTAAACAACAGTATTTATTCCCAATGGAAAGAAGTAAGCCAGCAGGAATCATTTTTTTACTGACCAACTTGTACTCCAGAAGCCAAGGAAACGTTCAACTCAAGACTTCCATATTTTGGTAAATGGCAATATCTCTTAAGAACAATTCTTCACTCAAAGTCAGTTATATATTTTAAAAAGCACCCCTTCTTAATAAATATGCCGATGTAGAAATGCATGGGCAGAGGGAGGCAGTACTGACCCTGATGCGGTCTCAGGCCCATGGTGTGGGGTTAATTAAGGGGCAGTGGGTAGGAAGGAAGAGCTGTGGTGTCTGCCTCTTACACTGGGGCTGGATACAGGGAGAGGGGCAGGATCTACGACACTGAAGATCACCTTTGTGTTCGCAGGATATGAAGCAGAGCCAGCAGCAATTTTCCCCGTAGGAAGGTAACCTTCACAAGCTCCCCCGTGTCCAGGTGCCCCTTGGCCAAAGCACTGGGGACCAGCAGGGTGACACCCCACAGCCCATCCCTCTCTGGCACACTTCCGGGCATAGAGCTGGGCCACCCTTCACCCCTTCCTGGAAGGGAGATCCAGAAAGAGCCAAGAACTTACTGACTGATACTGGCTGGCTGATCAGCTGGGAGCTGAGTCCCATTCTTCTAGCCCTGTAGCTCTAACTGTTAAGTAGAAACTTCTTTCTTTATTCAAAGCATTTTCAGGCCCCTGCCTACCTGGCCCTGGCATTAGACACACTCTCTACTTCCATACTTGCCTTGGGCCAAGCAGTGACAGGTGGCTGTGGGGGTCTCTTCCACCAGCCCACCTGGCCCAGGTTCACGCCGCCCTCCTCATAGCCTTGAGCCTGACTTTGTGTTTAATTCTTTTCTTGCTGGTGTCTGGAACATGTCTTTATCCCCCCTCGTATTCTTCATACATTTGATTCTGTAGTCTGCTGCAGAAAACTGTGAAACTGAAAAACATTTTTTAGCTGATAAAGCTGTTACTGTCCAAGGAAGTGCCACTCATGCTTAATAAAGAGATTAGAAGGTCTCTGTGTCATTGGTGTTAGGGGCATAAGAATGCTTTATCTTAAAAGAAGCTCAAGAGCAGTAGGGGCGATAAATGTCATCAAAGGAAGCCCCACAGGATGAACTGGAACCTTTAGACTCTGCTAAATTCCTCAATTCCTTTAGGCAGTGGTACTGTTAAGGCCTCATTAAAGGAGCAACAAACAAGAAAACAGAAAGTAATGTCCAGCTCTAGGGTCCGTCACGTGGGGAGAGAAAGGGAGCACTAAGGGAAGGTCCCTTCAGTTGGTCCATCTCCCAAGGGATACCTAGTGGTGGGCTAACTAATGGTCAGCTTGGCACGCCCAGCTGAACTGAGCCATCCTGGTTGTGGGCGTGGAAGACCCAGATTGTTACCCACAGCATAAAAGGAGAACTGGATTAACAGTGATATATGCACACCCATGTTTATAGCAGCACTGTTTGTAATAGCTAAAACTTGGAAACAGCCCATTTGCCCATCAGTTGGAAACTGGATAAAGAAGATGTGGTTTTTCTATAAAATGGAATACTATTCAGCCATAAAGAATGAGAAATTAGAGTCATTCATAGGAAAATGGTTAAGGATATACTCCTAAGTGAGATAAATAAGTCACACATGTCTAAATACCGAATAGTTTCTCTGGTGTGAAATACTATAATAGTACATAAGATCCTAATGAGATAATTGACCATGTGAAATAGGAAGAAAAGTGCTAAAGGTGTAGGGAAAATGGGATGGATAGGGGAAAGGTAATAAGGGAAAAGAAAAAATATGACAAAATGAAAAAATGGAAAGGAGGTGTTTGTAAATGGGGAGGGGAGGAGGGGGTGAAGGGAGGGCAGGGACAAGGGGAAAATAAATGAGAACCAAGACCTGTCATGTAAAGGTACATGATCCCAATAATGAATGTAATTGTACTCAAATGTACCAATACCTTAAATGTACCAAATATACCTTAAATGTACCAATAAACTCAATAAAAGAAAAAAAAAAGAAGAAAAGGAGAACGGGAGTGGAAAATCCTATACTGCTGATTTTCCTGGAGAAGCTTGCCACCCCTGGTTTGCTGGATACAAACTCGATTGTTCTCATCATCAGAGGAGTTTGGGTCCTCCCTGTCACCTGGGATGGCTGCTGTTCTTTTCTGGGGAGCTCTGGTCTTCCCTTTGAGCATCGCTTCCTGGCTCTGGTGCAGATCCCTCAGCCTGGTGCACAGAACCTTTGCCCTGCTGGGGCAGACTTTCTGGCTCCCCTCACTGGCCTTTGGGCCTTCCCAGTGCAGACCCTCTGTGGGGATGAGCGTGAGACATTGCAGTGAGCTCCAGGCCTCAGCTGGACTTGTGCGGGACATTGGTATGGGATCCAGGCCCTCGGCTGGATTTGGGGGGCCTCTAGTATGTGGACAGATCTCTTATGCCCCTGTGTTTGACTTTTTAAGTGAATATTATGAAATAATCCTATAAATTATATGTCCCGTATTAAATCTATTCCCTGCAAACTCTGACTACAATACCTAGGTACAGTAGTATTTGGTCTCTTCATTCTTTATCAGTTGTGTAATTTTCATCTTATCCAAGAGGCTAACAGGGACCATAACTCCAAGCTCCTTTGTCTTACATAGGTAGTCAGGTGCAGCTTGGATTCCTGCAGTGCAGACCACTGTGTTGTGGGGGACACACAGGCCACCACATCTGGGACATCTGTCCAGAAGCTCCGGTTCCTGCTGTGGCCCCAGGAAGACCGCACAGCTGGCCCTCAGTGTAGACTGAACATTTCTCCTATGCGTGCTCTGGATCCTCCCGGAGACTTCCCAAGGCCTCCTTCCACCCAGCTGCTCTTGGTGTCCAGCTTATAAAACGCAGCAAATCCCAAGCATTGTTTCTGGTGTCCCCACAGAGAACACGTGCACGCTAGAAAGGCAGAGCCAAAGTGGGCCCAGCCAACCTCAGCTGAGCCTCTCACTGACCACACAAGACACAGAAATGAGCCCGCCCAGGTCCCCAGAGGGACCCCTGGGGCTTGGCACAGAGGACAGCAATGCTGCCGCTGTTCACCCAATCAGCCCTGTTGTGCCGAGGGTGGGCGAATATTGGCAATGACAACTCCAAAGACGAGATCGCTCCTCCTAGCAAAGTCCATGCAGTCAGTGACCCGCGTGTACAGCAATTAGGCATTTCAGGTACGCGAAAGGAGGCAGCAAGGCTGATCCCACACCATGTTTATGTTCCTCGAGTACCTTTTGAAAGTGTATCCGTCCATTAGGAGCTGCCTTTTTATCATCTATGTCTTCTGTTTCTGGGGCTGAATTTCTTTCCTTTTAAATCTTTCAGCACACGTGTGCCGGCCGGCAGCTGGTTAGGGGGCTAAATTTAGTATAACTGCTCTGTTCTTCCAGAAGTCTTAGGCGTTTGCCTTAAGTGCCTGCCTCTGGCTGTAAAGGGCAAATCACAAAGTTTCCAGTGATTTCCAGCCCACGTTTACAATGTGTGTGTGTGTGCGTGTGTGTGTGTGAAAGGCTGTTTCTTGGCTGTAGCTGGTAGTTTTCTTGTAGCTCGCTCTGAGGGAATGATTGCAGAGAGCTTTAGGCCTGCTAACAGTATTAGCACCCACCTCAAACACTGACGTCTGAGGTCTGGGATGTTCGCCAAAGTCACCGCTCAGCCCGCAGCGTGAGGACTGCAGCCTGGCAGCAGCAAGTGGGCTCCTTCTGCAGAAGCCGGGCCACGTCCTTGACCCACGGCCAGGAAAAGACAAGGGTCAGCTGCCCAGCCTCAAACAGTTCGGCCACAAGCAAAGACCTGCCGATCACGCTCAGCTTCCAGTTTATTCGTCCACGCTGCTGCTGCGTGTCAGGGAAAGACCAGAACACACCACTTCCCAGAGCCCTCTGGTCGGGACTTTGCAGTGCGCGTGGTGGGGGATGTGGGTTTGTGAGAGCTTCTCCCAGACTGGCAGCTGCCCTGATCCGTCTCCGGCTCCAGCGAGGGAGGCTTTGGCACCGGTGGGGCTTCCGTGCACACTGCAGGATGGGGCTTTGGCAGCAGACAGTTGCCAAAAAGTGCGGGAAGCACTGAGACGCTGGATTCGCTCCATGTGGGTCGGCACGCATCTGTCATCCTATCACTCTGGAAGGCTGAGGCAGGAAGATTGAAACGTTAAGCCTAACCTGGGCAATTTGGCAATTTAGTGAGACCCTGTTCCAAAGTAAAAACTTACAAGTTTGGGGACATAGCTCAGCATGAAGGTCCTGGATTCCAGCCCCAGTATCCAGAGAGGGTGGGGGGTAAGGGAGGCAGTGTAGAACTCTGTGAGCAGGACCCACACACCCCTGTGCTCGGCAGTCACGGGGCACAGGGTGCGGCTGTCCCTGGGTGGTGGGGACCCACCTGGCCTGCTGTGCAGCCCGGCTAGACCATGGCCAGAGAGAAGGTAGACTCACATTGTGTGGCTTTCCAGCCTGTGGGCAGAGTTTAAGGGTTTCATTTGCGCTGTCCTTCCATACAGAGGCCAGAAAAATGCTGGAAATGTGGCCATAGGACGTGTTAAGCCCAGCAGGTGCTGCAGTGATCACAGCGACAAAATGCTGTGACCGCTCCAGCCTGGTGCCTCCCCACAGCGCCCAGCAGAAACCCCTCTGAGCTCTCTCCTCACAGACCCACCCGCAGTGTTCGAGGTGAGCTTTCCTGATTCCAGAAGTGAATGTCTGGATTCTGAAGGCGGGACGCGGCTGTTTCTACAGCGCCCCAGCCCCGTAAGGGCAGGAAGACTGGAGAGGAGGCGGACACGCTCCGATTTGGGGTGTGTGCTAGTTGTGCTTTTGCTTTGTTTCATCTTTCTTGGCCCTTTCCTTTGAAATGTCGATTTGAAAGTCAGATTCACGAGCCCCAGTATGTCTTCCATCTGCCGTCGGCCTCCTGCACTTACACGCACACTTCTGTGTTTCTGTGCACGTAACTGGGTGTGCATAGATGTATGCGGATATACACGAGTTGTAATTAATAAATATAGAGAATATTTAAATGTTTAAAATTCTTACAGTAAAAGACACGTTGCCACGTGTGCCCCTCAAACATGTCCCTTCATTTCAGATGCCTTCATCCCATAATTCTCTCCACTCCCTGCAGCAGCTCTGGCGTCCTCTTTTGCGCATATCTTTAATTGCGCTGGCCTGGCTGCTGCGATGTTCCGAATCCATCCAAAACATTTCCTCTTCATGGTCATTTTGACTTTGAGCAAGAGCCAGAGTCATCTGGTGCCAGATGTGGTGGCTAAGGCGGAAGAGGGCACGGTGTCGCGTTTTGACCAGCTGCCTTTCCCTCCGTGGCCCTCGGCGGCGGCAGTCGCTGTGTTTTTGACCGTGCCTGGGAAGACACGGAAGAGGACTCCAGAACTGCTTCTGAAAGTGGCGAGAGTGAAGGGGTACATGTGTGTGAAGGGAGGGCAGGATTTCGAAGGCTTTGCAACAGTGTGTCTTTGACTATCACCCGCTTTTACAGTGCGAACACTCACCCCGAATTTCATCCTCCAGGGTCTACGTGTCCTACTGCACAGCTCCCTGGCTGAGCACTGGCAGAATTCATGCTATGTCCTTCTTACGTCTTAGCATCTCAGAAGGAGGAACCCTCCCATGTGAGTACAATGTCATTTCAGCACGGAGAGCATGAACTGACTAGTATTTCTAGTCTGTTAAAATTATCTTCGTGGTTGTGTGTATAAATGGTGACGTACTTAGACCTGGCAAGACAGTCTTTCCTTTCCTCAAAGTGACCATCATAAGTAAGCAAATAAACAAATAAAGAGTCTCATCCTTCTCTTCAGAAAAATACTGTATGTTTAAAAAATGACTGCTGCAGAGATTACACTATTCACAATGCTTTATGCTTTTTTAGTAAATAATACATCTGGAGAGCTTTCATCATCTGTACATTCAGCTCTTTGCAGAAACCACATAACATTCCACAGCTTATTTAAATCATACTTATTTCTATATTTCCTTGAAGTCCTTGTTAAATGACTTGATTTGTACGGTTCTCTTCAAATTATGTTTCAGGACATTCATGTCATGTTTCGTGTTAATATTATGCAACATGCACCTGTGTGGAAACATCACAGGGTACCCCATAAATACCAGGGGTGCTCAAAGCACAGTGTGACTGTTTGCAATTTTAAAATCATTAAAGGACACACTGCCATGAACCTTCTTCAAACCGCCCCCCTTTTGCTTTGAACACACTCATCCCGTCATCCCTGCCTCAGTCTAAAGTGGTTCTGGAAGTCCTCTTTCGTGAATGTCTTTATAAGATGCGATCAAAAACAGGATGAATGCTGCTGCTGCTCAGCGCTGTCCACAGAAAGGCAGCTCGTAAAACCATGACCCTGCTCCTCGTCTGCCTGATTCACCGGATCTGGCACTGTGCAACCGTCCGCTCTTCCCCAAAGTCAGGCTGACCACGAAAGGGCAATATTTTGAGTGGATTCAGGACATCGGGGCAGTCACAACAGTGGAGCTACAGACACGCAGGAAAGAATGCTCCAGAGCAGCTGCGGGAAGTGGCGAGGATGACGACAGCCTAAGTGTGTCGGCAGTGGAGGAAGGTGTTTGAGGGGACGCGTGGCGAGGTATCATCTATTGTAACAAGTTTTCAAAAATGGAAACATTCACAGTATTTTTAGATCATACCTATTTCTATGCAGCCATCAAAACATCGAGTAAATAACATTGATTTTGTGGTTTTTAAAGTTTGCCCATATCCGAAGCAAAGTTCCCAAGATGCTCCGGCAGTGAAGCCAGGAGCGCGAGATGACACGGATGATGGTGCTCAGCCTGCTCGGAGAGAATTTCACTTCCTGGAGGAGTTGGGCAGGGTGTCCTAACTGCAGCCATAGGCCTCTGTTAGCGGTGGGAGGGGAGGAGCGGAGCAAGCTCTTGTTCTCTCTGCTTGGTGACCACTGTCAGTGGGAACTGTGCTGCACAGGCCCCGTTTCTCAGGTCTGCGTTCAACACGGGCCAGGAGCTAACAGGCCGCTCTTGCTCCATCCCAGGGAACTGACTGCCAACTGTCACGGCTTCCAGAGGGAAGAGATGGGCACCCGAGCTTGGATAAGAGTAAGGGTCCCAACCTGCACAGCCCACCCTGGACCTTGCACAGCCTGGGCCGTGGCCTGCAGCATGCCCCACTGTGAGCCAGTTACACTCACACACACTCACACGCAGACAGACACACACACACACCTAGAATGAAAATGCAACATCTACCATCACCTAGGCAATATAATCTGCTGTATCGTGTACTTTACTGTTTCGCTTTTATCCAAAAGCAATCTGAACCATTATATTTATTTTACAACTTTCCCCAACTTCCTGTGGGTCCAGATTCATGGCCTGCAGCACTGGTAGACAAGCTGTGTGCGTCTGCAGTGAGCAGGCGGGAACACACTCCTGCATCTAGCAGTGATGTTTTTCTCTTCACTTCTTTTCATTTCTTATTTTCTTCCCTTCCCTTTTCCTTTCTTTTTTTATTATAGTATTGGGGACTGAGCTCAGGGCTCTTGCCTTGAGCTACATACCCAGCCCTTTTTATTATTATTATTATTATTATTGTTATGTTTCATTTTGAGACAGGCTCTCCCTGAGTTGCTAACTTTTCCCAGGCTGGACTCAAACCTGTGATCCTGGCACCTCAGCCTCCCAGAGCGCTGGAACTTCAGGAGTGCGCCATGTTAGAGTTCTTAAAGTTTTACTCTGTGATGCCTTCAAAGTTGTGAATCTTGGTTTCCTCATTTATACAATAGAAAAGGAGTAGTTACAATCTCTCCAGGGTGTCCTGATGGGGAGATGGGTTAATAAAGCAACAG